GGTGAAAAACAGGAGATTGAGTACTGACAATTAAATATTTGTGGCTAAAAATAAAATTATTTATGACAAAGTTAAAAAACTTAAGGAATTAAAAAAATTACTACTAGAGAAAATATTAGTTGAGACAGAGCCTAATTTTTACAAAATAAAATTAAAGAAAAACAATTTATTTTTCTGTATTTTTTTAGTGTTGTTATTGAACCATTCTAATACTCTTTATAGCAACATAATTCCATGCAAGAATGTCTCTGGTGATGAATCTTCAATGTTCAAAAATACTTGGACTTCATATATTTTAGTTATTGATACTGGCTTTGTTATTGTTAGTATTTTATATAACTTATTTACTTTCATCATTGTTTTTATTTCCATGTTTTGTTGTTTTTAAACTTCATTTCATTGAGTAAATATTTACAAAAGTGCTAAATGTATTTTATATGTAAGTTTTTACCATAATGCTTGGTGGCAGCATGGCCAAAATGACCCTTGTCAAAAAATAAAACGATCTATTTTATAAATCAGAATGTTTGTCATGATACTTTTTAAACTGCATACAGGTTAGTGGCATGCTTTTATAGCAACAATGGTTCAAGATACACAATAGTATGGGTTACGTGACATTTTTATTTTTGTTGGAAATTTTTTTCAGGTAATACATTGCTGCAGGAAATTGCAGTTTTTTCTTTTGTGAGTTTCATTAAATGATATATTATAAGAAGTATAGATTCTGTTTAAATTATGTTTTTCATTTTTATAAAAATCAAGTAATTATGTTGTTTTAAATTGGTAATAGTATTTTATATTAAGAAATAATATAATTAGTAATTGAAACATATTTAAAATATTGACTAATTATTGCAAAGTATATTATGGAGTCAAATACTTTTAGAATTGTACTTCTTCATATTAGATTATACATTGTGTTTTATAAAGCTTACTTGAGTTTAATAAAGAAATATATATTTCAGATGGTTGTGTGTTCAGCAACATTACATTCATTTGAAGTGAAAAAATTGGCTGTGAGTATCGTAAAATACATTAAATATTTTTATTTATTAAAAATCTTAAAATAATAATTTTTATTAACTAATAATTATGCTTTTACTATTGAAATAGATGAACTATTACATTATCATTCATAATAAATTCTAATATTTTAAATCATTCTTTCAAAAAGAATTTTATTCTAACTTACTTTTTGACATTATTTTACATTTGAATTTCCATCGGATGAATAAAATATTGAAAAATATTTATTCATCCGACTGCTGAGTAGCCTAAAAAGGAAGATCTGGCTGTCTATAGTCTGTTCTGGAACACTAAAGAAAAAAAAATGATGATCGTCTGAAATTTTTAGAGTGACTGTCTTTCATTTATATTGATTTATTTTACATTGTTAATTCAGTTCATACTATATTATTGTTTTATGAGAATGTTAAATTTCTTATTTATCAGACTGAGCAGAAAGAAAATAAAAATTACTGATTGTAATTAGATAAGAATTAAGACTGATAGTTTATTATAAATTTTCGAGTTATATATTAAATTATAAATTCACAAACTCAAAGCATTGAAAATGAGACAATTAGCNAACAAGTTATTTGAACAAATTCTTTTCTTTGGATTTGTTCAAACAACTTGAATCCATTTCTTTTGTAAATAATTTATCAATAATGAGAGTTGCATGTAAATATTCCAATTTATGTTTTTGATTGATTTTTAATAAATTAGATAAAAAAATTTATTTTTGTAAAAAATTAATTTGTTTTATAATAAAAAGTTTTTTCAAGAAATGCTTATAACCAGAAGTGTTTTGAATTTTGGAATATTCGTATATTTGCATCTGATTTCATTTGATCTATATTAGTCTGATTAATTTCTTGTTTTATGTTGCTTGCTTAGAGACTTTTATTAATTTTTTATAAAACAAAAATTTTCACAAATCTATATGAATAAGTTTTTTAAACTTATCTATTGTAGATGTGTGAAAGTACAATGATACCTCAGTACTTGAACTTAATTTGTTTCAGAAGTCTGAGTACTGAATGAATTTTTCTCATAATGAATAATTTAAATTAGGTTAATCTGTTTCAGACCCCAAAAGTAAGTTATAAAAGCATTTTATCTAGAATTTAACACAAATTTAACAAGAAGTTTACAAGCCCTAGCATGCATAAATCATAAAAAAAAACCAAAAATACTCATACTCAATACAGAGTAACAAAATATGCCCATTAATTTCATTGAGTTGAAAGAAAATTTTGTGTATTTTTAACAGCCATCATTACTTAACATAGATATGCGATTTAATTATAACAATTGTGAAATTTAACATTATTGTTAACATGAGAATGTATTCTTTGTTTAGAAACTTATTTTAAAACTTTTTATTTTACATATTGTTTGAGTAAAGTCAAGTCAAAATGTCTGCAGATAAAATGCATATCAGACATATTATGCTTTTTTTGAGTTTTGTAAAGGATATAACACTATATAAACAGTAAAAATACACTAGCAATATGTAGGGGAAGATACTCTTAAACTTCAAACATATTAAATGTAGTTTTAAAAATTTTGTTCAGGAAATTTTTAACTATATGACATACAATAGAAAGGTGCCCAAAAACTATCAACAAAAAAATTGCAGGAAACAATTGTTAAAACACTTCATTGATTTGTAATTGTTGCAAAATATGATTGTGTTCTGCACACATTAAGTGAAAAAACAAACTAGATAGAGTATAACTTTGTCTGATAAAGTTGGCTCTATGGTTTCATTTTATTTTTAAATTAATTACTAATTGTTATCATAGAAAACTGGAAAACTTTTTTACAGATGGCAAAATTAAAGTTAAAATAAAAATATTTTTCATTAACTGAAAATTTGTTTGAGAGCAATCAAAAGCAAAGTTAGTAACAATTTTCTGAAAAAATTTAAATAATTTAGTTTACATTCTTCATAATACTGCTTTAAGGTAACATTATAAATGTAGAGTGAGTGAGGATTCCTTTTTTTTTTTTTTTTCTCTGTCATAAAGATCGAATATAATTGTGCATTGTCTTTAGTGTTCTTGTATGCCATTTTTGACTGTATAGGTATTTTGCGTTTTTTGTTTAATGTTAATTGAAGGATCTAGAAGAAAGGATCAGTTGAGGGAAATCAAATATTTAGACAATGAAGACCATTTAATTGTTGACCAATTAGGAATTGAAATGGTACAAATGTTATATGGGATGAAGGCATGAATTTTGTTAAGAATAATTTGAATTGCACAATGGTCAGATTTAAAACTGGTAATAGGAAAAGTAGAGATTTGAGATTGAAATGAGAACACTAAGTCGAGAAAGGCATTCTGTCAGGTTGGAAACTTTACATACTGATTACAGTTAAAGTAGTAATAAATGTTGTTTAAAAAGAAATACTCTGGGTTATCTATTTGTGAATATGACGGAACTAAGGAAGCCCAGTTGACATTTGTTAAGTTAAAATTGCCGCACACAATAATGTCAAAGTGTCTTCGTATTGGAGGGTGGATAGAAAGCATTCCAGATTAGTGAAGATGTTGATATGCTTGGGGTGTAGAACATAAACAATTACAATTATGCATTGAAAACAATTCACTTTAATTGCTAGTATTGCATCTTGGTATTTGTAAAGTTTTTAAACTTAATTGATTAGAGAGATATCATACCGCTGCCTCTTTGGGTAGATCTAAAAGTAGAAAATTAATCAAAGCCCAAAAGTGTTTATTATGTTTGAGATATCATGGAAAAATTAGTTTTTCTAAGTTTCTGTGAAAATATAAAAGTTGTAAAAGTCATTTAGAAAGGAATGCAGTGATGTAAGGCCTTTTTTAATTAAGCTTATATTTCATGGAAATAAATGAATTATTTAATAGTAAAAAAATAAAATATAACAATGATAAAAATTAATAGGACGTGGTGAAAAACAGGAGATTGAGTACTGACAATTAAATATTTGTGGCTAAAAATAAAATTATTTATGACAAAGTTAAAAAACTTAAGGAATTAAAAAAATTACTACTAGAGAAAATATTAGTTGAGACAGAGCCTAATTTTTACAAAATAAAATTAAAGAAAAACAATTTATTTTTCTGTATTTTTTTAGTGTTGTTATTGAACCATTCTAATACTCTTTATAGCAACATAATTCCATGCAAGAATGTCTCTGGTGATGAATCTTCAATGTTCAAAAATACTTGGACTTCATATATTTTAGTTATTGATACTGGCTTTGTTATTGTTAGTATTTTATATAACTTATTTACTTTCATCATTGTTTTTATTTCCATGTTTTGTTGTTTTTAAACTTCATTTCATTGAGTAAATATTTACAAAAGTGCTAAATGTATTTTATATGTAAGTTTTTACCATAATGCTTGGTGGCAGCATGGCCAAAATGACCCTTGTCAAAAAATAAAACGATCTATTTTATAAATCAGAATGTTTGTCATGATACTTTTTAAACTGCATACAGGTTAGTGGCATGCTTTTATAGCAACAATGGTTCAAGATACACAATAGTATGGGTTACGTGACATTTTTATTTTTGTTGGAAATTTTTTTCAGGTAATACATTGCTGCAGGAAATTGCAGTTTTTTCTTTTGTGAGTTTCATTAAATGATATATTATAAGAAGTATAGATTCTGTTTAAATTATGTTTTTCATTTTTATAAAAATCAAGTAATTATGTTGTTTTAAATTGGTAATAGTATTTTATATTAAGAAATAATATAATTAGTAATTGAAACATATTTAAAATATTGACTAATTATTGCAAAGTATATTATGGAGTCAAATACTTTTAGAATTGTACTTCTTCATATTAGATTATACATTGTGTTTTATAAAGCTTACTTGAGTTTAATAAAGAAATATATATTTCAGATGGTTGTGTGTTCAGCAACATTACATTCATTTGAAGTGAAAAAATTGGCTGTGAGTATCGTAAAATACATTAAATATTTTTATTTATTAAAAATCTTAAAATAATAATTTTTATTAACTAATAATTATGCTTTTACTATTGAAATAGATGAACTATTACATTATCATTCATAATAAATTCTAATATTTTAAATCATTCTTTCAAAAAGAATTTTATTCTAACTTACTTTTTGACATTATTTTACATTTGAATTTCCATCGGATGAATAAAATATTGAAAAATATTTATTCATCCGACTGCTGAGTAGCCTAAAAAGGAAGATCTGGCTGTCTATAGTCTGTTCTGGAACACTAAAGAAAAAAAAATGATGATCGTCTGAAATTTTTAGAGTGACTGTCTTTCATTTATATTGATTTATTTTACATTGTTAATTCAGTTCATACTATATTATTGTTTTATGAGAATGTTAAATTTCTTATTTATCAGACTGAGCAGAAAGAAAATAAAAATTACTGATTGTAATTAGATAAGAATTAAGACTGATAGTTTATTATAAATTTTCGAGTTATATATTAAATTATAAATTCACAAACTCAAAGCATTGAAAATGAGACAATTAGCCAAACATAAATTCCACCTTTCAGTATTCTAAGTGGTTATATATATATATATATATAACCACTTATATAAAATATAAGTATATATATATGTTATATATATACTTATATTTTATATAAGTGTTATATATATAATGTGATTCTGAAGTAGATGAAACTGAATAACTTTTTATAACTGTTACATTGTTTGACAACTGCTGTTTTTTCTTAGATAATTTCATTACATAGTACTAGATTAAATGAGAAATATTAAATATTTAGTATAATTATAAGTAATAATAGTTGAGTGTTTGTATTGTTATAACACTAATTGGATTTTCTTTGTCTATTCATTCTGGTTTACTTAATATTTATGACCTTGAACACTTATCATTAAGATTGCCCTGGGTGCTGTAACCTTCAACACTTTAAATGTTCTTGCAGCTTTATTTCATGCTCAAAAATACAGAAGAATCGTTTCCTGGTTCTTCTAAGAAACACCTCCACTTTCCC